CAGCGCATAACATGTAGAGTATATCGGTGAGGGGGTTTCGGGCTTTAATACAGTCGCCGCTATTTCCCATTTGCCTTAATTTTGCTGAAAATCACATGAACTGTAGATCATTATATACCTCATCCAATACGGGGTGCAAAAATTCTAGCAGCTGACAATAAAAAGGTCTTATTTGAGCGCATATCAACCAATGTCCAGAACAAACCTAAACGTTTGGTGCATATAACGTCTAGAGTATATAGAAGGGGGTGGGGGTTAATACAATCGTTGCTGATTTCCCATTTGCTTTAAATGTGCTGAAACTCACATGAAATGTAGATTATTATATACCTCATCGAATACAGGGTGCAAAAATTCTAGCAGCCGACATTAAAAAGGTCTTATTTAAGCGCATATCAACCAATGTCCAGAACAAACTTAAACTTTTGGTGCATATAACGTCCAGAGTATATAGAGGGGATGGGGGTTAATACATTCGTTGCTGATTTCCCATTTGCTTAAAATGTGCTGAAAATCACATGAAATGTAGATTATTATATACCTCATCGAATACGGGGTGCAAAAATGCTAGAAACCGACATTAAAAAGGTCTTATTTGAGCGCATATCAATCAATGTGGCAGTGAATACGGGGTGCAAAAATGCTAGAAACCGACATTAAAAAGGTCTTATTTGAGCGCATATCAATCAATGTGGCAGAACAAACCTAAACGTATAGCGCATAACATGTAGACCCAATAAACAGAACACTAAAAAGTAACCTCTTTTGGGAGTGTATTTTAAGTGATTTTAAAGTATAGTGCCTTTTGAACTAGATTTAAACGTAATCGACACGTGCCTTCATTTAAACAAAAAAGGTATTCCTGTTCACGTTTTCATCTAACCTAAAAACCACCAGTTTATCACGCGACTGGAGTAACGTGATTCCACTTACCTCTGTAAATAAAGTGTTTATGACCAAATAACCACTTGACCAAGCAACGAGTTTTTTGTCCGTTAACCGATGGTGGCGATAAATACGTAATTATTTGGTCTTGTAAGCACCTTTATCGATTGGTTTCAAAGGTTATCCAAGGTTGATGGTAATAATCACGTTACTTACAGCGGCTAATCGTCTTATTGTTCTGTCCGTGAATCTCTGGTTATATTAAATTAGTAATTCGGAGGTGTCTTACACACCTCTTTAAATGGTTTCAAAGTTACGATAAATTTCTTGGTTATGATCACGTGGCTCAAGCTGATTATTAATCTAAGCTGTGAATCCGTGATATGTAGGTGTGAAAAATTAGTAATTATTAGGTGTCTTAAAACACCTATTTAAATGGTAGTCAAAGTTGCCAGCAGTTCCGCGGTGATAATCTCGTGACTCAAATGGAATATTAATCTAAGCTGGGCATACGTGACTTTTAGGTGTGAAAAATTGGTAATGATTAGGTGTCTTAAAGCATACATTTAAATGGTAGTCAAAGTTGCCATAAGTTCCGCGGTGATGATCCCGTGAGTCAAACGGATTATTAATCTAAGCTGGGCATACGTGACTTTTAGGTGTGAAAAATTAGTAATTATTAGGTGTCTTAAAACACCTATTTAAATGGTAGTCAAAGTTGCCAGCAGTTCCGCGGTGATGATCTCGTGACTTAAACGAAATATTAATCTAAGCTGGGCATACGTGACTTTTAGGTGTGAATAATTAGTCATGATTAGGTGTCTTTATTTAAATGGTAGTCAACGTTGCCAGCAGTTCCGCGGTGATGATATCGTGACTCAAACGGATTATTTATATAAGCTGGGTATTCCGTGTTTTCCAGGTGTGAAAATGAGTTATTCTTGGGTGTCTTGATGGTTACACAGTTACCATTTAAGTTCCGTGGTGATAATACCGTGACTGTTGGCATATTTCTATGTTCACCAGTTGATAACTGACTGTTGGCATATTTTCATTGCACCAGTTGATAACTGGAGTGTGCATATTTCCAGTTGCACCGGTTGATGACTGAGTGTTGGCATATTTCGAGTTGAACCAGCTGACACCAGTTAATTTGCATATTGAAAATGGGGTGCGTGCAGATCTATGTTTTTTAAACAATTTATCTGAATTTACAGCATATTTCTTAATTACTGATGATTTAGTTATATGCAATTCATTTCGAAAATACTACAAATATAAATTACCAGTTATTAGGACATTTCGCTACTTCGTATAAATTACATTTAGTTAAACATGAATAAGGGAAACATTAACTATGAACTAAAATAATTTCAATAAAGTACAAGTATACGAAATGTTTTCGATTAATTAAATTATGTAAGTCTACTTTAATATTACCAATGCCTTTACATTGGAAATATAGACGTACCAGTATTGAAGCGTATCAGGACAATTACCCCCTGGGCAATCACCCCCCGGAAAATTACCCCCCGGAAAACTACCCCCCAAGGACAATTACCCCCTGGAAAATTACCCCCCGGAGAATTACCCCCCGAGGACAATTACCCCCCATGGACAATTACCCCCCGGAAAATTACCCCCCGGAGAATTACCCCCCGAGGACAATTACCCCCCAAGGACAATTACCCCCCGGAAATTTACCCCCCGGAAAACTACCCCCCGAGGACAACTACCCCCGAGGACAATTACCCCCCATGGACAACTACCCCCGAGGACAATTACCCCCCGAGGACAACTACCCCCCGGAAAACTACCCCCGAGGACAACTACCCCCCCCCCCCCCCGAGGACAATTACCCCCCCCCCCCTCGAAACACCATTACCTCCGAGGACAATCACACCCAGGGAATTTGCAACACTGTGACGTATAATGCGAGCTCCGCTTCAAATTGCTATTTAGAGAAAATGTCATGAACTTTCATTTTCTTAGTTATTTATGACGGCATAGATTTGTTTCGTACAGGGGTTGTGTATAAACATATTTGCAATAATTATATTTAATTATATTTTGGGTGAATGTATGTGGAAAATTTGTTAAGGAAGAATACAGATTTTTTTAAAGTTTTCTAGCACAGGGCAAATAGGCGGGGAGCTCACAAGACACGTCACGGAGTTGCATATTTGTGTTTGCACCTTCAACAAATCATAACTTTCTAATTTTTAATTGGTGAAACTTTTTCAAACTCTAGGCCATATGAAAGATAGAAACATCCACTACCTCCATCTCAGAAAAGGTTAAAGCAGGCATTTTTACTTTATTTTCCCCCTGAAACGTGGTCATGGTAATTCTATGAACCATATGAAATTGACAAGCTTTTGTTCTTAACGAGTTTAACAGAGATTAAAAATCGAAGGGACGCTTAAGCATTAGTGACGATGTTCGCTTCTCGCCAGCTTTGTTTGACGTTATTCAGTGTGGCCTCCAAGTCTCCTAAAACTTTGACTTTTCATGAATTCTGGAAGCAAAGGAATATGTCTACTTAGACTGTGCTTAAAATTTATTTTTTGTTTAGCTGTTTATGGTTCTCTAGTGTACGAGTTAATGTGGTGAAAATCCTATTCTTGTTTTGTCATCATTCTTTATATAAAAGAAAAGGTATTGAACTTAAAATGTTGCGGAGGTAAATTGACATACAAGATGCAATATTTTAACTATTTACATTCTCTATCACAAGTGAATAACTTTAATAGCATTTCAAACAGTGTTTCAATTTTCAGTTTTATTTTCACTTCCAACAGAACTATCAATATAAACAATTATGACAAGAAATCAATTACATAAATCATTTTGAAAATCATTAATTAAATTACAAAAGAATGTATACATGTGCTGTAAGTGATGTTTCGTTTGTTTAAAAGTAAAAAACTGTGAAAATGGAGGGATCTACTGAGAAGCGGGATTTGTAGAATGTGGATCCCTCAAAAGACGGTAGTAATAAACATATGGAATAAATACATATACATTTGGAGACAAAACAGATTAATCTGAAATTGTGAAATGAGAACTTATGAATTATAAATTCATAATTTAAAAATGTATAACAACATGCTTTTCCTACGTCTGGGTGAACATGATCCAACAGAGACATAGGACGAAGACTGACATTATATGAAAGGTCACAAACGCAATCTGTGGGGGGGGGGGGGGGGGAGTAAAACACGAGTTGACTACGCGAAGATTTAATATGTTTTATAAGATTGTAAAAGAAACGAGTTCGCTTTTCGCTTAAAAGAATGAAGTGATGGGGCAAGTTTAGTACAAATACGTGAAAAGTTCCAAAATTTGAGACCGGCATAGATAAATGTATTTAGAAGAGGTAAATGAAAGTCACCACAATGTAATTTTTTTGTAGGGGGGTGGGGGGAGGAACACATCATGAATAAAATTGAGAGCATGTCATTACTGTTAGTTTACAAAAACTGGCCTAACTGGAAGAGATAGAGGTCATTAATTATTAACATGCTATTTTCAAAGAATATAGGATTTGTAAGGGAACGCGACTGAGAGTTGCGATTAATACGAAGAGCTTTTTCTGCAACGATAAAACTTCTGTCCAGCAAATTTTGGCGCGTATTGCCCAAAACCATATTTGAAGAGGATAAACATGATAAATATTAATGATACATTAACACAAATAAAACACCTTCCTGCTGTCTTGAAGGAAGCCAAAGGAGGAGACTTATCAAAGTCATGTACTAAAAACAGAGTTCTGACATCCCAAAGTAAAACTCAGAGGCAAAGATCATCACAATCATGCTTATCATATAAACATGAAACAGTAAAAAAAGAGAATTAAAAAAAACTAGAAACTTTTATCCTGAAAACAATCAAATGCATAAAAAAAGAAGATATCAAATGATATCATTCTGTATTCAACAATGTATATACGTAACACATCTCTTAATGTAAAACAAAAAATCCCATATAATGTAATGCCAAGTAAATGGGAGGTCCTGCATGTTAAAACAATTCACCTGGACTGATCAAAAACTGTACAATAGCATAGGTGACTGATCGTTAGTGAAGATTATGGGACACGCCCCTTAAAAAATCTACAATGTCTCTCCCATGGTAATTAGTAACGAGCCTGATGAGCCGGAGATTGGTATCTTGGTACACTCTCCTACGTGCGGGAGGCGCCATTCCAGCTTGCGCTTGCCCGATGCTAATCATGCTTATCATATAAACATGAAACAGTAAAAAAGAGAATTAAAAAAAATAGAAACTTTTATCCTGAAAACGATCAAATGCATACAAAAAGAAGATATCAAATGATATCATTCTGTATTCAACAATGTATATACGTAACACATCTCTTAATGTAAAACAAAAAATCCCATATAATGTAATGCCAAGTAAATGGGAGGTCCTGCATGTTAAAACAATTCAACTGGACTGATCAAAAACTGTACAATAGCATAGGTGACTGATCGTTAGTGAAGATTATGGGACACGCCCCTCAAAAAATCTACAATGTCTCTCCCATGGTAATTAGTAACGAGCCTGATGAGCCGGAGATTGGTATCTTGGTACACTCTCCTACGTGCGGGAGGCGCCATTCCAGCTTGCGCTTGTCCGATCGTTACTTCGTTCATGGCATGTTCCCGTTTTAGGCAGGTCAAAAACTGCCAAAACGAGGGGTGGTCGGCACCGACGCCGATCTGGAACCTTCGGTGCCAGCCCTCCACATGATTGTTCGTGCGAAATTCCCCCTGCAGTGTCGCATTGAACATGTTCCACATTATGGGCGGGAACCTCGCTGCCTGGCGACCATGTCCCGCGGCTCTTTGAGGTCGACCCACATAAGTATCCTCAAAATAATTGAGGACAGGTTGCAGCTCTGCCCTTGCAATGCCTGCCAAGGCTTCAAACGCCTCCACGGTGTCTTCCACTGGCACAAATGCAATCGCTCCTATCATTCTCGCCTGTGTCCGGATCTCCTCATCGTCGTTGTAGAGCACCTGCAGCCCTTCTTGCTTGATCTAAAAATAATAATATAAAACTCATAACAGTACATGTACCAGCCCTTTCACACTTCAGAAATATCGTTTGTTGTCTACCCATTGAGCAAAATGCATAGATATTGGTAACTGTTCATTTAGTGTGGGGGAGGGGGGAGGAACAAACCGCTGTCCCCTATTTTTACGCCCGAATCCGCCAGGGCTGCCCGAAATTTTCTCCCTTGCCTGACTATACGCAATGAGCGTTTCCTATAGGAGAAAATAACATGCTTGTATCCTACTCAGCTTCCTTGTGGCCTACCAATTTTCAGTATAACTATCGATTATATTCCCCCCTCCCCCTCCCCTGGCGATTAGAGGTCCGTGTTTTTTCCAGGTCAGTTTTAGGCACAATCGAAAAGAGATATAGCCCCTAGCCCCCTACCCTCTAATCATCATATAAAGTTTTTGTTACTGGGCTTGAAAGGATGATTAAAAGAAAAAAATATTTATTAGAGTCCTCCCCCCCCTCTCTCCTCAGCATTTATCATGGCTTGCAAGTCCACTTACTCAAATTTCAAACTCTACCTAATATTTGTATCACTATTTTTTTTTTTTTTTAGCCATGAGCCTTGAATGTACTATTTGATCAATAAATGGCGGGTAAAAAAAAGGGATCAACTGTCAATATATAAATATCACCATACCCGTTCATGTATCCTCTGACAGAGATGAAAAAGACATCCTTGAACGTGAGCATTTGGAAATGCCTGGGAAAATGCGTTCTTCGCTGCAAATTCGTAGTCGATCATGATTCTGGTTGGGTAGAACGCCCTTCCCTCCTGTAGTGCTGCTAGTACCCTTGCATATGACGCCTGGTCCTTATTTAGCATGAGGCAATAAACCAAAGGCACCACATGTCCCTCATATGTGGCGTGGATTGTCCACAACTGGAAGAAGATGGTCGGCACTACCTTGAACGTGCCATCAGCGAACCAACTTTCAGACGTTGACAGCAACTAGTAGCAAAACAGAATGAATACATTTGCATCGAATATTATATATTTCAAACAAACAAACTGTTTCACTTGCAAAATTGTATGTATTATTTCCAAGCTATTTTATTTACTTACTTACTGTTTTTTAATTATCATAGCATGATAATTAAAAAACATAATCGAAATAGGAGATCATGTCGTATCAGAACAATACCCCCTCAGGGGAATTGTTCTAGAACCGATCCTGTACTTTGTCGAGAATAATAACCAATTTTAATTTAATTTCAATTTCAATTTTATAGGAAGTATTTGGATATCTTTATGATGACCTCACAATTTCAATTCATTCTAATGAATCCTGAAATCTTTTTTACTCAATACGTATGCTTTTGCAGCACTTCCTAAAATTGCGGAACCGTAGAAGGCCAAATGGCAATGAACCCCAACACTTGTTCTTACCTGAAGGTTCCTTTCCGTAGTAAACACTAAAATCCGGCGAGGGTCGTTTCTTCCAGAGTCGTGATAAAGGAAAAGCTCTCCACCCAGCGTCAATCGTTGATCTACAGGGATTTCCAGATCTTCCACAGTCATGGGAATGGGGAGGGCGTTTGGGTTCTCTTGGCGCTGTCTCCGGATATTCCTCCTCATGTTGTTTAGTGATGGTAGCGCTGCCCGCCCTTCCTCTGTTACCTCGCATAGTGTCGCCATAAGCACCTGTTGTGGTCTTTCATTGGACTCAGTGGCCCTTCTCTTCGTTGCTGCTTTAACCTTCGTAGCATTGCTTCTACCATGGTTAGGCGGATGGTTATGCTCCGTTCTATCGCGGAATTGGTTATCACCCATGACCTATTAGAGAAAAAGAAAAAGAGAGAGAGAGAGGAAGTGTGGGGAGAGAGAGAGAGAGAGAGATTGAGAGAGATAAAACATTATTCCCATATATATAGGCTATTAATCATCCACTAATTATTAGGCATTATGGATGGTAGACGAAATGGGCATTTAGAAAACTAGGAATCAGACAAAATGAATAATAGACCAAATGGTAATAGATTAATTGGGGATTAGACCGAATGACTGTCGTCCTAGATGGCCGCTAGATCTAACGATAAGTAGACGAAACTATTATGGGACAAAGTGGATAGTAGACTGGCTGGTTGTTAACCAAACGGCAATTCACCCTAAATAGCTACATGTACGTTGATCTCAACACAACGAATTAAGTTTCCTAAAAAGCAACTCCTTGTGATTTTTTTGTTAACGGGGAGTCCAACATTGATAGTTAACTTCTCAAGACTAAACCTGAAAAATTAGTGAAGCGTGTTGAACAAAGTTTGAATTTTTGAAAGTTAGAATCACTTTCATCCCGTAGATACAAACTTAATTGTTTATTTGATTGTTTTGTGTTTGTTTTGGGTTTTTTCCCCTTTGTCACTATGATTTGATTTTGTAGTTAAATTTCTGTAAATATGTTCATTTATTATAACTTTCATATTTGTTTGTGAATTATATTTTCATTGTTTTAAATTTTATTCGAATTTTATGTAATCACTGCCTCGCTGAAAAAACAGCTTTTGCTGAATGCGGGCACAAGTTGTATTTGTTTTTAACCATGAATAAATAAAAAAAAAAAATATATATATAGGTAGGGCTCTTCGAATTAGCCGAATCGGTATTTTCTGTATAAAGTAGCGGCAGACAACTTTATAATATAATAATATAATAAATTTAATTTATATAGCGCTAAATACAAATGTCTCTAAGCGCTTTACAAATATATTATTACCCCGGTCATTGGATTCAGTGCTTACCCGCACACAATGTGTGCACAATCTCCACTCCCTGGGGAGCATTCCAGCCAGGCGTTACATGACGCTCAAAAACTGTTTGACCAACAATGACGGTCGCATCCTACCGGGTACCCATTTAACACCTGGGTGGAGAGTAGCAAGTGCAGGTTAATATCTTGCCAAAGGATATTAGTGCCGTGTCGGGATTCGAACCCTCGACCTTCGCATCTCCAAGTCAAGCGCCTTAAACCACTCGACCACGACACTCCCTTTCCCGTTTGTTCATACACACAAAAAATTATTTCTAGAGAACCTGTAATAATATACTCTCCATATTATATTTTAAGTAGTGCCCCAAGGGTGAAGGCGCTTGGGAGAAGAAAAAAAAATCTTCATATTTGTGTACAAGACAAACGAAGGGTTATTTGTACTTATTATTTGTACTTATTACTACGGCACAATCCAATGAGAGAATTGCCAATTTGAGATTTGCATGGATGTATATAGTGATCTCATATATCAAACATTCATTATTTTCTTATCATTGGTCCGATTTATTCCAAACTTTTGCCATTCTGTTTCTCTGATGTATCTGCTTTCATTCCTTAAAAGCAATGGAATTGTTACAAGGGTTGGATTTCCTTTGAACCGTAAAGATACTATGTCCCTTTTGCAGCAAACATCTAATGCTGTCGAACTTTGTAGGAATTATGAATATGTCATGTATGTCCTATCTGTGAAATATAAACGTTAGCAGTGTCCTAATATTCAAATTATGCAAGGAAACCCGTTTACTTGCTAGACTTCACCGTCAGACACTATTGAGTGACTGACTGGCCTTTTTTCTTCTTTGGTAATAACATATATAAAATGAGCTGTAAAGGGTACATAAGCATTTGCCTACATCAATAACCCACTTCTTGTAATGGCCAAATTAAACTGATTGAATCACTGCGCAGCTTAAAACGTACGACCATTCGGTACAATGGTCTGAAAATCAGACTGTTACTTACTGGCTCTATAGCTCTTAAGTCGATTCGACAACTAATATTTGTTATTTTCCCACTTAAAGACATTTTCAAACCCCCGTTTTTTAGGAGAGTTCTAAATTAGTATTATCTTTCAAATGCCGTTGGAATTTAACCTTTTCATTTTTTGGCCTGCAAATGGGAATAGTACCTTTAACAGGATTGTATCTGTGCTTTTACAGAAATATTTGTGTGGAAACCAGAAGTAGCCAGTCATACTTAATCAAGCAGGTAAATGAGAGGAATGGGTCGGTGAAAGTTTAAATGAATTCCGATTAAAGATAAGATTTTATTTTGTTTAAGTTGCAAACTCCCCTCCCTTCTACTCTGTACTAAAAATCAGAAATCTTTATTTTCCTTAGACAAAATTTCCAGTTATACATGCACCCTAAATATACTATTTCAAATGTGTTTTCCTATCCAATCCTTGTATGGAAGAAATCTATTCCGTCATCAACAACGAAGAGAATTAAGTTGATTACATTTTCTGAGCAAATTGGAGAGGAGTGCGGATACGCCACAATGTTATCGATAATGTAATGTCATTATTATTACTGAAAATATTATTAATGACAATTTTAATATTTTCCTTCTTAAAGCGTCTGGTAGACGCCGTAATAGAAAATGAGGAAAATAAAAGAAAATAATTGATTACATTTTTGTTTCCTACTTCATAACTGGAAGGGGTTGAGCTCTAAATCTTTCAGAGTATTGTTCAAAAATTGTATTGCATATCACAAGCCATCTGCAGAAAAAATCTCATCGAGATTTTGAGGGCTTGCAAATGTGTGATACTATCTTTAAAGACAAAATTTGGAAAATTAGCTACATTAATGCCTTTGCTTAATTGTAGTGAGACTGTCAAATTGATGATTTGTCAGCTCTGAATGCGAACACCATGCACACCCATCGATGACCTCCTGTTACCCTGCTTAACATCCGTTAGTTCATGGATGACTGATCACAAGTTAAAGAACAAAATAATCACAATTCTAACTTCAGGTCAGCGAAAATGAACAAAAAATAACATTAACAACAAAAACAAATCTTAATATCTCTATTTCATTTAATATTGACAGAAATTAAACTTGGTATATCTTGTCAGTTACTTTTATCATATTGGACCTATATGTCATGTTTGACTGTGCACAAATTAAAGACAAAATAACCATGTTTATTCCTAAAATGTATGTCATTGCTTCCTTTATTGTAGAACAATGTTTTTCAGAAGGTCGTTGACCTCCATCCATTACTTCATAATAATATTAATAATGGTGGCTTCTTATATAGCGGACATGTCTGTCACGTTGTGACGCTCCTGGCGCTGCCCCGATTATTACCCTTGCTTTAGCAAGGCGGCCACTGCGGCGCTCTAGCATTTCAACGAATTAATTCCTACCAGGTACTCATTTACATCACCTTTGAAATGTGGCTATTCCTCTCTTGTTTGTGTGTTTGTGTGATTGTATGTTTTTCCCTTAATAAACATGCTGGCTCGGAGTGTAACCTCACTAGTCATAAGGACCGCGATTTATTACGTGGAACTTCCGATACGTGAAGAACCGCTATTCATAAAACGGAAAGAGGGCCACTATTCACAAAATCGTGAGGACTGTTATTCTTGAGGACCGCTATTCATAAAGTGAGATAAGGGTCGCTATTCATAATTCACATCTAGGGGTCATTACTCTTAAGGACCGCTATTCATAATACGAAATCGGGGTCGCTATTCATAAACAAATTGATGTCCTTTATTGTTTAATATGACATTGCATTTTTTGTATTCTATCTTTAATTTGTGCTCACTCAAGCATAACCTAATAAATACGATGTGGGGGAAGGTAACTGACTAGCTTGCCGTCTTTAGTTTCTTTCAACAACAAGAAGTAAAGAAATACCTTTATGACTTAATAATTTTTTTCCTCTGTTTGTGCTCAGTCAACCATGAAATGATGGAAACATCGTCACTGAAAAGTGGGGTGGCAACGCATATTACGGAAAATGTTTGCGTTTTAGGCCGGTCTCCAAATTTTAAGTAATATTTTAATGTGGTTATTTGTTTAATCTTGTGCTCAGCTATAACCGTTAAGTGATTGATTACGATCTCAGTAGATCATTAATAAGCTTACGGTTCCTCTATGAACTGAAGCAACGACACTAATTTCATGAAGTTTAAACTGTGATTCTTATTTTATCCCCTTTACCTTGTGCTTATGGTAGGCAATGCCAGCCCACCCCCTCCCCTCCTCTGAAAATACCACTGCAAGGAGGTCCTCTCCGAGTGTGATGTTTGCATATAGTGCGGAAAATCATCAATTTGGCTGTCCTTAGCTACAGCAATGACATTGATCTTGCGAATCATTTATTTTTCGGTCTTTAAAGGGACTTGGTAACATTGTTTATATGAGAGAAAATGGTGCTAAGGCAGTGACTTCATTGCTAGATGTACAATTAAAGATAATCTGAAAGTTTGAGTGAAAACGGACCATTATTAATGATAACCATTGGGAAAAACTGATCTCACTGATCGATTCCTTAATTCTCCCAACTATATTATCACAATTTAATTACATTTCAGGTGAAAGTACATCGTCTTGTGACGATTGCAACAAACTGGCTCTTCATAACATTCCAGACATTTTAGTGTTGAAAGATTTTAAAAAGCCTGTCTTATGTCTTATTTTCATGGAAAAACGGTTTGGAAAATTCAAAAATGGTTGGGAGAATTTACTGTTAATCACTGTTAAAGGGTGTTACTCAGTGTCCGCTTCAAAGAAAACCGTGCATTTATTTGTGGTTTAAGAATTTTCTCAGGATTTTTTGCCTGTAAGTACAGTAAAAGGAATATAATAAGTAAGATTTCATACAAAAATTACACCGTTTTTTAATCAACCTTCAACAATGTTACCGAATCACTTTTTGAGTTCTTAATACGGCCGGGGGGGGGGGGTGATTATGCCCCCTTAAGATCGCTGCCGTGAAACGGCCGATCTCCGCGAAAATTTGCACGCATGTCAAGTGAAGTGTATTATACAATACTATGATAATTTCAATTTTTTGAAAAATTCACTTATTTGCATATTTATGGTAATTTATGCAAATAAGGTCATAAATCACATTTTACCCATAAATCATATATTATTCATATTTAAGCATCCGATTTTCAAAAACATTCTTTTAAAGATGCGCAAGACTCGAAAGAAAAAGGTCAGCGAGCGTCGGGGCGCCATCCATATGCGTTCCCGAACAATTAGAAAATCGTGGAGGGGGGGGGGGCATAATGCCCAGGGGCGGATCCAGGAATTTCTTCCCGGGTGCGTATATGGGGGGCACACGGGGGGGGGGGGGTAAGAGAACATATAAATATTTTTGTTTTAGTCCCCCAAAACGCAACGACTCAGCCAGCCGCTGAATAAACGGGGGGAGGGGGGGGGGGGGGGTAAGCGGAGATAACTTTTTTTTGGGTCCCATAAAAATTGCTGAATAAGCGGGGGGGGGGGTGGTAAGCGGACCCCACTTTTTTTTTGGTCCCATAAAAATCGCAGAAAAAGCGGGGGGGGGGGGGTTTGGTAAGCGGACACTTTTTTTTTTGGTCACGAAAATTGTAAATTTGACATTTTGTTTCGTTGGAGTCAACTTTTTAGGTCAGGCATTTGTATATATATATATATATATATTTTTTTTAATTTATATTTTTTTTATTACAAACAATTATTGAATTTTGGGGCCCGTGGGGCACGTCCCTGTTTTTCAGTACATTTTGGCGAATTTAGGGCTGATTTTAACATATTTTTGAGCGGCCGGGGGGGGGGGGGGACGTGCCCCCTCTGCCCCCCCCGGCCTTATTAGGGTTAAGGTGTGTTGAGTCAATTATGACTCAATGGCGACCTCTGATTTTTATGGAAACGTTACGTAAGAAAAACGGACACAGTTGTGTCTCGGTGAATTCGTTTAAAAGTTTGCAGTTAAGAATTTATAAGGAGCTGTTTAGGGGAACAACCCTTTTGAGCCGACTGTCCATTAATTATATTGACCAAAGAGATCACTGGTCCTAGGAAGCCGTGCGTCTAAAGTTTTAACTTAAATTTATGCTATGCTAGTGTCCATTTAAAAAAATTTGAAATTATTATATGAATTGTTAGGCTCTGTTCAACCTTAATCATTTTCATATTGGTAATATATTAGACAATGGGCTGTGGCGTAGAACCAATAGGCTCTGGGACTTATGTATTGTAATAAACGGTTGGTACAAGTCATTCACTCCACAATATGTTGGTACGTTTGATGCTTACCTTAATTTTTGCTCTGCATTGTCGTGTGTTCCTTCGTAGCTCACATTCAAAGCCCTCGTACCCATCTGCCAAATCTTTTTGCTTGACGTACATGTATCCTCCCAGGAGGAGCTTTCGCCCACCCCTCTCGCTCTGTATCCATTCCATCTTTGTGAAGTTTGACTTAATATGCCACGAGTATTGAATCAAATTCAATTGCCAGAAGACGCATGTATCAAATCGAATTCAATTGCCAGAAGACGCATGTATCAAATCGAATTCAATTGCCAGAAGACGCATGTATCAAATCAAAGTACGGAATTTACATTTCTTAGAAATTTAACAATACATTGCGCGCAGATGAGTACGCGTTACAGCTAGTCGCCCCCAAAATGGCCCAACAAAGAAATTAGGATGTAAGATTTCATTATTTATGCATCCTCTGTAACTTTTCTAATCAGCTGATAGTATATTTGTCTTTGTATGCATAATAGGCCCTCATCCACGATCTATTCCAAACTAAAGGTTCTCTTCATGTTTATAAATGTAATGTAATATATATATTTATATATATATATATATTTCTGTTGTCATGGTGAACTCAAATATGTTTTCTTGTACTGTAATTTATTTTGAAATAAAAATTGCCTTCAAGTTAAATATATGGTATGTACGGTGCCATATTAAAAGAAAATAAGTATGTCTTGTCCTTTTTTTTCTTGCTCGTTCACTAAATCAAGAAACAAATGTGCCCATACGTGTGTACATAGCTCTTGACGAATGCCAGAGTGATGCAAAATAAATAGTTTGTGAAGAATTTAAGATTGGGCGAAACTTTTCATTTCTTAAGAGGGCACTGTGTCTAACAAAAATTTGAAATAACGCTGCTCAAGAGAAATCCTTCGTAGAAAACAGCAACCACAGTGGTGTTGCATACATTATAGTTAAAGAAAAATGTGTAGTAATGAGAGGAACATCACGCGCAAGTATTTGAACGAATGTGGGTTCATGCACGGGATTTTATGGGCTCGTAGCCTTCACAACATCTCTCAATGTGTCAAATCGTCTTTTGCTATTGAATCCTGATTGTCTTCGGGGGGGGGGGTAGTTGTCCTCAGGCGTAGTTATCCATGGGGGCGGGTAATTGTCCTCGGGGGGTAATTCCTCAGGGGGTAGTTTTCCGGGGGGTAATTGTCCTCGGGGGGTTGTTTTCCGGGGGGTAATTGTCCTTGGGGGGTAATTGTCCTCGGGGGTAGTTGTCCTCGGGGGGTAGTTTTCCGGGGGGTAATTGTCCTTGGGGGGTAATTGTCCTTGGGGGGTAATTGTCCTCGGGGGGTAATTGTCCTCGGGGGGTAATTGTCCTCGGGGGTAGTTGTCCTCGGGGGGTAGTTTTCCGGGGGGTAAATTTCCGGGGGGTAATTGTCCTTGGGGGGTAATTGTCCTCGGGGGGTAATTCTCCGGGGGGTAAATTTCCGGGGGGTAATTGTCCTTAGGGGGTTATTGTCCTCGGGGGGTAATTCTCCGGGGGGTAATTTTCCGGGGGGTAATTGTCCTTGGGGGGTAGTTTTCCGGGGGGTAATTTTCCGGGGGGTGATTGCCCAGGGGGTAATTGTCCTAGAACCGTATTGAAGTATTGTTGCTGTTTAACTGGTTGGAAGTTAACCAAATGGTTCTAATGGCTCAGCTAGACCAGTTGAAGTATAACTGGCCTGGATCAACTGGATCATTTAGCCCATTTCAATTTCCAGGATTACCAGTTGGCATTAAATGGTTCATCAACTGGACCAGTTGCAACTAGCTTTCTCTTCTGGGATGTTTGCACCTACCCCCTCCCCCAACCCCCTCTAACCCCAAACTGCTACCAGCGCGCCTGGACGTAATTATGGAAGATCCAAGGCACGATGTTCAGAAACGGAATGATTATTATTATTTTGGTTCATTTATTGTTTAACATTTGCGTAATTATTGGGTTGAACGCGGGTTACAGTAACATACTTCCTCTTCGACGTAAATTTCACGTGAATGAAGAACATGATTCATCTCAAGTCAGCCTCGTAATATTCACGTGAATTTCACGCAGATATTTTGACTAAAACTATCACTAACGCTTTACGTGTTTCTGTGACGCGATAATTTTGTTTATGAAGATGTAATTTCATAACCAAACAAACACGGGAGTATTAGGTTTACAAACCATGGTCTCCAAGGTAGGGATAATCACGTTATTATAATGGTGATATTGCAGTGACAATTGCGTGATTTAGTGTACGTGTGTTTTAAGTTACCTAGTGCAATTAACGTATTAACACATTTACGTAAATGTCAGGTGTTTGAAGAACGTAACTCTCCTCAAGTCGATAACTTGATATTGACGTGATTTTCACGTGATTTTGTTTATTGGGGAGTATATCAGTGAGGGGGTTTCGGGCTTAATTTTGCTGAAAATCACATGAACTGTAGATTATTATATACCTCATCCAATACAGGGTGCAAAAATTCTAGCAGCCGACATTAAAAAGGTCTTATTTGAGCGCATATCAACAAATGTCAAGAACAAACCTAAACGTTTGGTGCATATAACGTCTAGAGTATATAGAAGGGGGTGGGGGTTAATACAATCGTTGCTGATTTCCCATTTGCTTTAAATGTGCTGAAAATCACATGAAATGTAGATTATTATATACCTCATCGAATACGGGGTGCAAAAATGCTAGAAACCGACAATAAAAAGGTCTTATTTGAGCGCATATCAATCAATGTGGCAGAACAAACCTAAACGTATAGCGCATAACATGTAGAGTATATCAGTGAGGGGGTTTCGGGCTTTAATACAGTCGCCGCTATTTCCCATTTGCCTTAATTTTGCTGAAAATCACATGAAATGTAGATTATTATATACCTCATCCAATACAGGGTGCAAAAAGTCTAGCAGCTGACAATAAAAAGGTCTTATTTGAGCGTATATCAACCAATGTCCAGAACAAACCTAAATGTTTGGTGCATATAAAGTCTAGAGTATATAAAAGGGGATGGGGGTTAATAAATTCGTTGCTGATTTCCCATTTGCTTTAAACGTGCTAAAACTCACATGAAATGTAGATTATTATATACCTCATCGAATACGGGGTGCAAAAATACTAGCAGCCGACATTAAAAAGGTCTTATTTGAGCGCATATCAACCAATGTCCAGAACAAACCTAAACGTTTGGTGCATATAACGTCTAGAGTATATAGTAGGGGGTGGGGGTTAATACAATCGTTGCTGATTTCCCATTTGCTTTAAATGTGCTGAAACTCACATGAAATGTAGATTATTATATACCTCATCGAATACAGGGTGCAAAAATTTTAGCAGCCGACATTAAAAAGGTCTTATTTGAGCGCATATCAACCAATGTCCAGAACAAACTTATACTTTTTGTGCATATAACGTCCAGAGTATATAGAAGGGGATGGGGGTTAATACATTCGTTGCTGATTTCCCATTTGCTTTAAATGTGCTGAAACTCACATGAAATGTAGATTATTATATACCTCATCGAATACAGGGTGCAAAAATGCTAGTAACCGACATTAAAAAGGTCTTATTTGAGCGCATATCAATCAATGTGGCAGAACAAACCTAAACGTATAGCGCATAACATGTAGAGTATATCAGTGAGGGGGTTTCGGGCTTTAATACAGTCGCCGCTATTTCCCATTTGCTTTAAACGTGCTAAAACTCACATGAAATGTAGATTATTATATACCTCATCGAATACGGGGTGCAAAAATACTAGCAGCCGACATTAAAAAGGTCTTATTTGAGCGCATATCAACCAATGTCCAGAACAAACCTAAACGTTTGGTGCATATAACGTCTAGAGTATATAGTAGGGGGTGGGGGTTAATACAATCGTTGCTGATTTCCCATTTGCTTTAAATGTGCTGAAACTCACATGAAATGTAGATTATTATATACCTCATCGAATACAGGGTGCAAAAATTTTAGCAGCCGACATTAAAAAGGTCTTATTTGAGCGCATATCAACCAATGTCCAGAACAAACCTAAACGTTTGGTGCATATAAAGTCTAGAGTATATAAAAGGGGATGGGGGTTAATAAATTCGTTGCTGATTTCCCATTTGCTTTAAACGTGCTGAAACTCACATGAAATGTAGATTATTATATACCTCATCCAATACAGGGTGCAAAAATTCTAGAAGCCGACATTAAAAAGGTCTTATTTGAGCGCATATCAAAAAATGTCCAGAACAAACCTAAACGTTTGGTGCATATAACGTCTAGAGTATATAGAAGGGGGTGGGGGTTAATACAATCGTTGCTGATTTCCCATTTGCATTAAATGTGCTGAAAATCACATGAAATGTAGATTATTATATACCTCATCGAATACGGGGTGCAAAAATGCTAGAAACCGACATTAAAAAGGTCTTATTTGAGCGCATATCAATCAATGTGGCAGAACAAACCTAAACGTATAGCGCATAACATGTAGAGTATATCGGTGAGGGGGTTTCGGGCTTTAATACAGTCGCCGCTATTTCCCATTTGCCTTAATTTTGCTGAAAATCACATGAAATGTAGATTATTATATACCTCATCCAATACAGGGTGCAAAAAGTCTAGCAGCTGACAATAAAAAGGTCTTATTTGAGCGCATATCAACCAATGTCCAGAACAAACCTAAACGTTTGGTGCATATAACGTCCAGAGTATATAGAAGGGGATTGGGGTTAATACATTCGTTGCTGATTTCCCATTTGCTTTAAATGTGCTGAAACTCACATGAAATGTAGATTTTTATATACCTCATCGAATACGGGGTGCAAAAATGCTAGAAACCGACATTAAAAAGGTTTTATTTAAGCGCATATCAACCAATGTCCAGAACAAACCTAAACGTTTGGTGCATATAAAGTCTAGAGTATATAAAAGGGGATGGGAGTTAATAAATTCGTTGCTGATTTCCCATTTGCTTTAAACGTGCTGAAACTCACATGAAATGTAGATTATTATATACCTCATCGAATACGGAGTGCAAAAATACTAGCAGCCGACATTAAAAAGGTCTTATTTGAGCGCATATCAACCAATGTCCAGAACAAACCTAAACGTTTGGTGCATATAACGTCTAGAGTATATAGTAGGGGGTGGGGGTTAATACAATCGTTGCTGATTTCCCATTTGCTTTAAATGTGCTGAAACTCACATGAAATGTAGATTATTATATACCTCATCGAATACAGGGTGCAAAAATTTTAGCAGCCGA